TGGAACTCCCTCCTGGAGACCTATCCAGCGGAAGTCCGAAAATGCCCGAAGGCTAATAAAACTGTCTACTGGCCAGAGACTCGGTACTGCAGTACCCATAGCAATAATGCATGCATGCTCATGTGTTCTATACTATTCATACACACTTCCTACCGTTGCCATCAACTGGCAAGGTGGAACAGAAAAGGGGAACAAGCCCCAGTACCAAGAGGTTACCTTAATTCGTGTTTCCACAAGCTCCGCAGCAGCTTATCCCTCAACTCGGTACACAGCGGAATGCCTACACAGAGGACATTCCCAATCACTCTCAGTTCAACCCATACATGTTAATTTATAATTACACATGCAATGAACCAATTTCTTACCTCAATCCACTTGGTCCCGGACCAAGGGCAATTCACTGATTCAAGATTCGGGATTCAGGTCGACGTACGGCAACCTATACAATAACGTACATCCATCAGTACTCGTCAAATAGTATCAAAACGCAAAAACACAAAAATCCTCCCCATCCTCCCTTGATGGTTCGGCCATTGTAGTGTAAATGTGAGATTTATTTTTCTAAATTTTCTTTCTCATTTTGTTACGTCTCATTAGGTTGTCAATAGGCCGGTTCAAGTGCCGGTTCGTCATTTTCGCGTCGAATTACATCAAAACGCGAAAATCGCCAAATCACCCCTTTTCCCCTTGGAGGTTCGGCCATGTAGGTGTAAATTTGAGATTTATTTTCCTAAATTTTCTTTCTCATTTTATAACACTCCCTTAGGTTGTTTAGAGGCTAGTTCAATCGTCGTTTTTCCGTTTTTCGACATTTACGCATCGTTTTGCGAAATATTTCATTCTGGGCTCATTTAGGTCTCTAACACAATTCATTTTTTTCCATTGATTCAAACACTCTCCAAGCACAACACAACCCATCTAAGCACCATATAACTACACAATTCATTATCCAAATCATTTTTCAACATCAATTCCTCAATCTTTCCTCAAAGAATCGAATTTTAACCTATGGCATTCCAAGGAATTTCCATACAACTTTAATCATTCCAACCATCATACAACCTATTATATCATCATACCATCATGCCACCATCATCAAACAAGTCTCAACACCAAAATTCACAAATTCCAAAATCATGATCATCAATTTTTCTAAGTTAAAAATCATCACATTTCACTTAAAATTTTCATTGCATTTCTAGCATTACTACATCATTTTAAGGCATTATCATCTAATAGACATTTTCCATTTGAGCTCTCTAACACAACACATCATAAAATCCCTCTTTAGGGTTCATAAACACAATTCACCAATCAACCATTGAAATGTTGAAATAACTTACCCAAATGCAAGGCAAATGACTCCTCCTAGGTATACTCCACCATTGGAGCATTCCAAAGCTCCATGAACACCAAACTCCACAAGTGAGCCGCGGCCTTTGAGGGGGAGGATCTCAAAATCCAGCCACTTTCACGACTCAAGGATAGCACCAATGGCTTTAGAAGGCAATTTCCAACAAATTTCAAGTTAAACTTTGTTGAATTTGGTTAGGATTTGAGTGATTTAGGTGGGAAGAAAATTTGAAAGAAAACTTGGAGAAAGAAGGAGGGGGGCTCGGTTTTTGGCTGAAGGAGGGGTGAAGGAGGTGATGAATAGTACTTTGATGAGGTGTTTTAAGTGAATTTTAAGTGGGGTGGGTCCCACGCCACCTCACGCGATTTAAAACGCGTCCAAACTCTCACTAAACGTCCGTAAATTCAAAACTTATTTAGAAACTCTAATTTTTAACATTAACTATTCTCCTTTAATTATGCTTGATCAGATGAATTAAGAGTTCTCCACTCGTTCGGAGAAAACACTGTTTTAAGCTATTACGCGCGCCATTGGCACGCTTCCCCAAACTGTCTTAATTTCATCGAATATCATAAGAAATCATATTTCCTAACTCATTAGACCATTTTTAACTCATATTTGAAACCTAGAGCTCAAAATTCCACTGGCACATTTTACGGTGCAATCGTAACGCGGTATTTTTACCCGCGAAAAACACTATTCACTGATTTTTCTGAAACTTGCCTATCCACTCAATTTTTCGTTCTGAACCCATTTTCGGGGTTATTTTTACCATATGAGACCTTCTACTCAATTTTTATCTTCCTAGGGTTGCGTGTTGGCTAATTACCGTTTTGCCCTTTCTTTGTATTTTGGCCTAATCTTTAGGATTTTCACTAATTCATCGCTTGATTGCTCACTTAATATTTTAATTACTTGATTTAAAATTGGGAGGTGTTATATCCACCATCCCCGCCATTACCACCACCATCCCCACCACTACCGTCACAATCGTCACCACTATCATCACCACGTCACTGCCACCACCACTAATATATATATGATAAATATATTTAATAGGAATTATTTTTTATTATATTATTTGTTGTGTTATTAAATTTAAGTGGATTTATATAATAAATATATTATATTATTAAAAAAATTCAAAAAGACATATTTTTTAAGGGGAAATATTTTTCTCATGTTGCATGAGACAAATTGTCTCATCCAACACACAAAAAAGTGAGTGAGACCTACTGAGAAAAAGAAAGAGAAAGAAAAAAATGAATCCTACCCACTTTTTTATGTGTTGCATGAGATAATTTGTCTCATACAACACGAGAAAAATATTTCTCATTTTTTAAATAAATTTTCTGAAAGTAAAAGGCAAATAGAGCCGACCAGCTCAGATTTAAGGTAGGCCCGCCAATCTATTTACGCAGCTGGCCAGGTGTGGACTAAAACGGCTGCGTGAGAACATTCTTAAGCCCCAACCTAAACCCCAATGTGTTAAAACCCTTAGATCCACCGGAACCTCAAAGCTTTCATCCCTATCAATTTTGCAGCTATCACGAACATTTAACTCAAATGAGAAGGTTCACGTGGTTAACGCCAGTGAGTGAATCAACAAGAATTCCAAAATCATTCAAAATTATTGTTCCATTTTCTCAATTATCCTTGTTCTCATGACCAATTCTTCCAAAGCAGTATCGGCGCCATTCTTCCAATGTAGCGTAATGTTTTAACTTTTTCAGGCTATTCTAGGTGGCAAAGTTGAGGTGCCTACTTTATCGGGGAAGATGCAAGTAAAAGTAAGCAGTAAGCTAAGATTTACTTTGTTAGTATAATTGTTTTTTAAGTAAAGAAAAGTTTAGAGGGGCCAAGGTTGGTCCATTTCAAGATGAGGGCATGCTACAAGCTTTAGTAAGGGATCACAATGATACTTATAGATGACTTACCAAAGAAAGTTCACTAATAGGACTTGAACCTGAGACCTTGTTATCGACTCTGTTTGATATTGTCAGTTGAGTCAACCTCATCAGTATAGTCTTTTTGTTCCACTATGAAATTGAATTTCGAATGACACAGAAGTTTGGCATCCCACCCCCCCACCAATCCCTCCTCTCTTTTTTAAGACCTGAATAAGTGATCTTCTCATATGAATGACTTGAGAGGAATCCTCTCTAAACCTCATGAATTTATAATTACAGTATACACAATTAAATTCCGTAGTTTCAGGGATTGACTAAACCAAATACAGCAAGCACATAATCTGTTTCCTATTCTATTTACAAGGAATATCAACAGTTTCAATCATTATAGAATAAATTTATTGGGTATGCATGATAACCTGTTCGGAATCATTTTTTTTTTAATTTATGTTCCCGGGAAAAATGGATAGAAAACTCGTTTAGTAAAACCAGTTTATTTTTTTGTTCCCGGGATAAACTGGTTTAATTTTTGTGCAAGGGAACAGAAAAAAGAATCAGAAAGTTTCTATTTATTTGTTCCCAGGCACAAAACGAGAAACACTTATCTCTCTCAATCACTCTCCACCTCTACCATCACCACCACCACCACCATCATCCCGACATGACCACCGCCACGATCGTCGCCGCCGCAGTCGTACCACTAGTGCCGTCGTCACCTCCCCCCACTACCACGATGCCACCGCCACCATTACCACCACATCCACCCATCACTATTACCATGCCACTGTCACCACCACCACAATTACCACGCCGCCATCACCATCACCATCACCACTATCACTGTCACCGTCACCACCACCATCATCGTCGTCACCGCGTCCGCCACCATCGCCATCACCACGCCACTGCCACTGCCACTACTACCATCACCACGACGCAACCGCTACCATCACCACCACTATCACCAACCACCACTACCATTGCCGCAGCCACTACCGCCGCCGCCGCCACCGCCACCAACCACCACCACCATCGTCTCAGCCATGCCTTCACCTACCACCACTGTCACCGTCGCAGCCACCGCCATCACAACCACCATCACTATGCCACCGCTACCATTGTGGCCGCTGCCACCAACCACCATCCCCACCACCATTGGTGCAGCCACTGCCGTCACCTCCACCTCCACCATCCCCGCCATTACCACCACCATCCCCACCACTACCGTCACAATCGTCACCACTATCATCACCACGTCACTGCCACTACCGTACCGCTGTCGCCACCACCACCACAACCACACAACATGGAAATGAAAGTGATGATCTGAACCATCACCATGCCACCGCTACCAAGACAAATTGTCTCTTCCAACACACAAAAAAGTGAGTGAGACCTACTGAGAAAAAGAAAGAGAAAGAAAAAAAATGAATCCTACCCACTTTTTTATGTGTTGCATGAGATAATTTGTCTCATACAATACAACATGAGAAAAATATTTCTCATTCTTTAAATAAATTTTCTGAAAGTAAAAGGCAAATAGAGCCGACTAGCTCAGATTTAAGGTAGGCCCGCCAATCTATTTACGCAGCTGGCCAGGTGTGGACTAAAACTGCTGCGTGAGAACATTCTTAAGCCCCAACCTAAACCCCAATGTGTTAAAACCCTTAGATCCACCGGAACCTCAAAGCTTTCATCCCTATCAATTTTGCAGCTATCACGAACATTTAACTCAAATGAGAAGGTTCACGTGGTTAACGCCAGTGAGTGAATCAACAAGAATTCCAAAATCATTCAAAATTATTGTTCCATTTTCTCAATTATCCTTGTTCTCATCACCAATTCTTCCAATGCAGTATCGGCGCCATTTGCTTTCGTCTGTGGCCTCAATCGATAAAGGAGATTCGTTCACCAAATTCTTGTCGTCTTCCCAATCCTTGTTACTCGCACGAGGCACGTTGCCAATTTCTCATTCTTTTTTGCATCTTAATTATTATTTCCATTTTTCTGATTTTTTGTTGTTGCTTGTTTTGGGTTAAATTAAATGTTCTTCCAGCTTTGGTGAATTGCAGTTTTTTTACAAAAACGGAGGAGTCTCCAATTCCTAGAACACCATTGAGATATCGTTATATTCATGCCACAGGTTTTGAGTCAAACATGAACCACCTTGTTTCAAGTTATCATTGATATCCAGCTATGATAAGATTTTCATTTGGTTTCCTTTTTATGCTTTTGTTGTTCCAGCATTTTCTTCTGCTGCTGAACGAGACTATTATCGAGTTCTTGGTGTTCCTGAAACTGCCAGTCAGGATGAGATAAAGAAGGCATTTCACTTGGTGCGTGACTATTGATCAAAGCTGTTCTTGTTAGAGTAGAGTAATGATGGAGTTAATTGAAAAATTGCAACATTTGGGGAATGGGGATAATTCAATTACCATTCTCGTTTTTGTTTCTTCATCTTTACTCTCGTACTAAGCAAGCATATATTTTTCTTCTTCTGTTTGTGCCTTAACCAAGCTGACCCTTGTTCTTGTTGATTTACATTTTTGTGCATAATCAGCATTAATCTCGCTGCTGATTAATCGATTCATTATCACTTTGAATTTTGGAGTTGAAATCTCGTGCATGCAGAGAGATACAACAACTGGGAATAATTTTTGAATGATGTGAAGTGTAAAGACAATGATAGGAGAGGTAGTTTCATCTTTAGATGATAGGATGAGATGTTGTCACATAACTTCTAGTTGTGAAATAGTAAAAGTCACAACAGCTAATTTGGGATACGATTAGCGACTGACTTCTAAGTTACTCAAAGTCACAAAACGTAATATGTGAATGCTTAACAATTTCCCACAATATTGTCAAACAACAATATTTGTGGTATTCTTGATATAATACTGCAAGTTTTGTTTGTGCAGCTTTAATCTAATATAACTACTTTCTTGAGGAAGAATATGAGGTCTTTATTAATCCATCCTAGGCTGGTTAGTGTCTAAACTAATTAATTAACTGAATGATATTTTAACTGGCCTTTTTGCTATGTAATTTCAGACATTGAGAGACTCTAAAAAAAAGGCAGAGTATGACAAGGTATTTTGGTCTTCCTATATGCTATTAAAATTTCAAATTTGGTATAATTGTTACTCTAAGTTGGGTTGGTGAGGAGCTTCAAGTTGAGTAAAGAT